TCTCTCTGTCTCTCTGTCTCTCTGTCTCTCCCTCCGTCTCTCTCCCTCTCCCTCTCCCTCTCCCTCTCCCTCTCTCTCTCTGTCTCTTTCTCTCTCTGTGTCTCTCTCTCTGTGTCTCTCTCCCTCTCCCTCTCTCCCTCTCTGTGTCTCTCTGTCTCTCTCTCTCCCTCTCTCTCTCTGTCTCTTTCTCTCTCTGTGTCTCTCTCTGTCTCTCTCTGTCTCTCTCTCCCTCCCTCTCCCTCCCTCTCTACCTCTCCCTCTCTCTCTCTGTCTCTCCCTCTCTCTGTCTCTCTGTCTCTCCCTCTCTCCGTCTCTCTGTCTCTCCCTCTGTCTCTCTCTCTCTGTCTCTCTCTCTCCCTCTCCCTCTCTCTCCCTCTCTCTGTCTCTCTCAGACAGGGTCTCATGAGCTGCCCAGGCTGGGCTGGAACTTGTGACCCCTCTGCCTCAGCCTCCTGGAAGGCTAGAATCATAGGCCTGCACCACCACACCCAGCCAGTTGTTCCCTTTTTACATCTCGGTGCTTTTTGTGGAGAATTTTGAATTCTTTAAAGGTACGTACAGATCTGCTTCAGTGAGTGTCTGTGACTTAGTCTTTGCTTGGAAGAAAGGAAGTTAAGACTTTTGATGGGCCTGTGTTCATGGAAGACATGAGATAAGTGATTTGATGCATTGAATAATTATAATTCCTAAGCTTGCCCACTTATCTGGATACCTAAAAATGATCGTACCTGTGTGACCTTTTAAAGGACTGACTCTACCCCAGTGAGAGACTCAGTTTTAATTCTCTTGAAAATGGGGAACCTTCCCCGAAGTTCGCTGGGGTGGGCCTGCCCTTTCCCCCCTCCTCCCCACAGTCACAGCAGCGGTCCTGTTAGGCTTGGCTTGTCCCAAGTGAACCGCAAAGCCTCGGTCCATGGCCCCGGCGACCGGTATCTAGCAGCTCATTGCTGGGCTGGTCGTGCTCAGGTGTGTAACTGGATGTGCCCCCGTGCATGCAGACCGAATTCTCAGGATATTTCCGCAAGGACCTCAGATGTTCCAGCAAAATAGCAATGAAGACCGTGCGCTCTCCCACTCCGTGCATTCCTTGCTCCCTGGAGATTCATGGGTCATTTTTAGTAATCCCCATCCATTCTGCCTCTCAGATGCAAATACTGAAACTGCATTATTGCTGTGCATTGCTCGCCTCTCCTGAAAGGCTCTTGTTTTAAGATAATGCCAGAGACAGCTTCTGTTTCTGTGTCCTCCTCCCCGTGTCCAGGCCCCTGGCACTCGTGGGCTCCCAGACCAGGAAGGCCCTGCTCACGCCACTCGTGCAGCCCCCTCGCCCCTTCCGCGTCTCCAACTCGGATCGGAGCAGCCGCCGCGGGGTGATGGCCAGCAGCCTGCAGGAGCTCGTCGCCAAGGTACCAGCCGCGGGCCTCAGGGGACAGCACGCTGCTGCCTCCACCCACCTCCGTGGGCCTGGGGCCTCAGGGACATGCTTCTCAGCAGCTAGGGGTCTAAGGCGCTGTGTTGTGCACCGGAAGAGGGCAGCGGAGTCGCTGTGCTCTCTGACAAGGAGAAGACAGGGACTTGAGGCGCCTGGCTGTGCGCAGGGTGATCCCAGCAGGCACTGGGCGTTCCCATTTCAAGTTACAGCAGAAAGCACGTGCCCGTGAGCTCCCTCGCAACCCTCCTCCTCGCTTTGAACACACTTGTCATTCTTGTCCCTTTCTGCAGCGGCTCTGGAGCCCTCTCTCCTGAGTGTCCTTACGAGGTATGATCCAAAATACGGTGACTGCTGCCACCGAGTGCCACCCAACAGAAAGGCGGCTCATGGAAGCATCAGTGTGACCGGGTGAACGCAGGCCCGGGAGCCCTCTTCACGCCGCTGCTCCCCTCTCGTCCCCTAGGCCCTGGATGCGCTGGTCATTGCGGCGGGGCTGGTCACACTGGTGCTGGAGGAGGACGGCACCGTGGTGGACACGGAGGAATTCTTCCAGACCTTGGGGGACAACACACACTTCATGGTCCTGGAGGACGGGCAGAAGTGGACGCCAGTAAGCAGCCACTGTGTGCTGGGCAGCGAGGGCTGGGAGCTGGGCCTGCGGGGTGACCCGTCCCTCACGGCAGCGTGGTGCCCTCTGGGCGCAGGGTGCTCCTGGGCAGCGTGGTGTCCCTGAGGGTGGGAAGCCCGGGCGCAGACAATGGCCAGCCCCGTCCAGGACAGGACAGGCTGGGCAGGCCAAGCCCAGCGTGGGTGTGTACCTGCCGTCCGGTCAGCGTCACAAAGCAACGACTCCCAAGGAGGAGGTGCCCGGCCATGGCCTCGGGGCCCAGTCCTGGTCCGTCATGGCGCCATGCAGGGTGTGGCTGACCAAGCACCGGAGCTGGGGAGACCTAGGGTCTCCCAGACCCTGTCAAGGGGTCCTGTGTCCCCAGGGATCCAGGGCCTGCTAGGCTCTGCTCCCAGATCCACCCCAGGACCAAGCCTGTGACTCGCCTGCTTTCGGGAAACATTCCAGAACCAGACGGGAGAGGGGAGAGCTTTAGGAGACTGGAGTAGAACGTGGGCTGGAGAAACTCTCAGACATATATCCCAAAAAAAGAAGCTGGTGGAACAATGCACACCTGTAGTCCCAGCACTCTGGAGGCTGAGGCAGGAGGGTCACTCAAGCCCAGGAGATCCTGTTCTGACCAAGAAAGAAAGACAGGGCTGGATGCCAACATTCCTGTGGGAGTCAGCAAGCAGAGCGTAAAGAAGACTCTGGTAACAGCAGCTCACTGGGGGCTCCTCTCACACATGGACACTACTGGCCCCAGGACGGAGGGCCATGTGAGGCAGGGCCCTCACACTCTCCTGAGAGGCTGAGTCCACCGAGGCCAGGAAGGACCACCTCAGGCAGAGCGGACGGCGTGGGCCAGGCCCGGCGCCTCCAACCCTGCAGGGCTGACAACTGCGCCGTTGCTGCTGACGCCCAGCCCCGTGAGGACCCAGCAGCAGGAGCAACGCCAGCCAGCCAGCCAGGGCCTCGGAACCTTCCCGGGTGGAAGTGGTAAATTCTGAAGCACGTGAGAGATAATCCACAGTAAGAGAAGCAGGAGGCAGCCAGCAAGGACCAGGGGGACATAAGGCAGTGGAACAGATTTCTGGAGATGAAAAAGGTAACAGAAGGCGATTTCTGAAAGCCACAGGATCCCCAGTGGCAGAGGAAGGAGACAGACCCAGTGGATCTAACAGGAGACATCCAGCAGGTCTGGCAGAGGCTTCAAAAGCGAGACCCAGCGCACACCCGTTGTTTACAACGCTGGAGCTGAGAGTGGCCAGGCTTGGGCACTTGATCTGCACGCTCAAGCCCCTAGGCTTGATTCCTAGCACCTCCAAGGTGCTACTGCCATTTAAGAACATGTTCAAGAGACCATTAAAGAGAGACTCGGAGACAGACATTCGGGTGCATGCCTGTAGTGCCAGCACTTGGAAGGCTGAGGCAGGAGGATCACCGTGAGTTCAAGGCCAGCCTGGACTGCATAGGGAGACCCTGTCTCAAAACAGAAGGGGATGGCCGGGAATTTAGCTCAATGGTTCCACCACCTGCTGCGCAAGTGCAAGGACCCGAGTTCGATCTCCAGTACCAAAAAAAAAGTGGGTGGGGAGGAGAAGGAGGAGGAAGAAAAAAGAGGCCATGCTGTTCCCAACATGACCCCAGGAGGCACTGGTACTCAGCAGGTGCAGAGAGAGCACGCACACAGCAGCTGTGGACCCAGCAGTCCTCTTAGATGGGCCAGAGACAGCGAGAGGCAGCCCAGAAGGACAGGGGCACGGGAGCAGACAGGCGGGGACCTAAGCCGGAGCATCCTCTCTCGAGGCTGGCCTGGGCTCGTTAGACGCCATTTCCCCCTGCAGGGGTTGGGACTGTCCTCACGAGTGGAGCGGGTGGCAGTGAGCGCTGGAGGGAGGGAAGCCACTGAGAGGCCAGGCCGCGGCCTGCAGTGTGTGGAGCGGCGGTGCCCAGTGTGCAGCTGCAGGAGGGCAGCGTGGCTTCGCAGGAGCGTGAATCTGTCATTGCCCTCGGAGTCGACCCTGCCACTCTTTGTCTGCGTGCCTTGTGCCCCCTGGAGCCCAGCAGAGCTCGAGCAGGGGACGTTCTGCCGCTGGGGCAGTGGGCATCTGAACCGCTGTGGGTGTCTGAGACAGGGCCCCCAGCCCACCACCGGCCCGGCCCGGCTCTGAGCCATCAGCCACAGACGCAGACGTGAGCAGCATGGAAAATGAAAATGAGACATCAAAGTGCATCGACTCATTTACAGTGAGGCCTGGAAGACAGCGACTGCAACCCCATTTCCATGAAAAGTGACTGTTTCCCGAAACGAAATCATCAAGTGAGGAGAGAAGCTTTGCGCATTTGCAGAGGCCCCGCTGCCTGGCGTGGCCGAGGACAGGGACTTCTCCGCTCTACTTCTGCCTCGCTGCTGGTGCACACTGTCTCCGAGGGGCCTGAGGACATCGGGCGGCCCAGCGGGTCAGGGAGGAGGAGGAGGTCACGTCACGCCCCCCCCCCCCAGAGCCTTTGTGTCCTGCACCAGCGCCCAGCGTCTGCACGCATTGGCAGGGACGCATGACTCTCTCCCTCTGTCACAGAGTCGCCAGAGGGGCCTTTCCCAGGGACTGCAGCTCCGCCCTCTGGTCAGAAAACAAACTCACACCTGGGGCTGGAGCTTCTGCTTCGCCTGCATGTCCCCAGGCAAGCCCGCAGGCCAGAGGGACTCCCACAGCAGGCTTCCCGGCGAGTGGAAGGTGCCACTGTCCTGCACACTGAGCTGCAGCTTCATCCTGGGGTGCGCTGTGAAAATCGATCTGGCCACTCAGCTCCGAGCCTCAGGCTGGGGACCCTGGGCTCTCTCCACCTCGGGCTCAGAAACTGCTTCACCCCGTTGGGGTTAAGCAGAACCAGCCCGACCCAGATGCATGAGCCAAGACAAAGAGCGGGGAGCCGAGCAGCAAGCTCCTTCTGTCCAGACAGGCGGGTGCAGCGGGAGCGCTGCCTGGGGAGCTTCAGCCTTGCTTTGGGTCTCATTTTCACATCTGTGAGCACATTAGGTGTGAGTGTGAGTGTGTGAGTGTCACTTCTTTCCTGACTGAACAAAGCAGCAGCCGTCATGGAACAGGGAGCCCGGTGAGGAGACCCGCTGCGGTCACAAGAGCGAGCGACCTGCACCCTCTCGGGAGCTGATCTGACAGGACAGTGTGGGCGCCAGAAACAGCCCCTGCCAGGACATGCAGCCCCGGGACCCATGGAGGTCGGACGAGGGGAGGCACCGACCCCAGAGCCCTCGTGTAGACGTGTGGCTTCGAGCAGGGGACCGGTGCGGTGCACAGGGGGTCTGCGTCTGTCAGCGAGACGGTGGTGACGGGCTGTGACAGGGTGCCCCGGGCGGGCTGGGTCAGGTGAGCCTGGGACAGGCCCAGCCCAGGCTGACAGCGTCCTCTCGGGAGAGTCGGGGTGTGGGCTGGAGTCGCCCTGAGTCTCCTTGAGGAGCCTGACGGGAGCCTGAGGCGGAAGCACCTCCAGGCACTGCACAGCAGAGCCCGGGTCCAGGCACACCTGTGATCTCAGCGCTCTAGGAGGCCGAGGCAGGAGGGCTGCCACTGGGACCCCAGCCAGGGCATCTTAGTGACTTAGTGAGACCCTATCCCAAATAAAAATAAATATGGGCTGGGGATGTAGCTCAGGGAGCAGAGCCTGGGTCCAATCCTCAGTACCAGAAACAAAAACGAAAACAAAATCCAAAAAAATGAAATCCAAGCCAAAGCTGGATCTGGCTCAGTCGAGCCTCCAACTGCCCAGATGGGACGGACTCCAGGTTCCGTGTTGGACGCGCACAGGGAGCTGAGGTCTGCCGAGAACACTCAGGAGCGTTGTGGGGAGCCCGGCAGCTGCTCCTGACACCCGCTCTGTCACCCAGGCCAGCAGGTACGTGCCAGCCAGCCGGCTGCGCTCAGGCATCGCCAGGGTCACGCTGGACCTGTACAGGCTGCATCCCAAGGACTTCCTGGGCTGCCTGAGCATCAAGGCCACCCTGTACGAGATGTACTCCGTGTCTTATGACATCCGCTGCACCGGGCTTAAGGCTGTGCTGAGGTAACCATGGCCATGCGGGGTCTGGGGCCTGGGTGGGCAGGGTGCCCCCAGGCCCGAAGGGTCCCAGCAGGTCGAGCCTTGGACACAGGAGAGGCCAAGACACTGGGTCCTCACTTGTCCCACGGCGTCACCGCCCAGCCCACCAGGAACTGGAGGGGGGCAGCCCTGGGACCCCCACCATGACCCCGGGTCCAAGCTGTGTGGGGTGAGAGGGAGACCTCGCTCCATCCGCCTCCGGTGACAGATGCCCGAGGGAGACGACCCACAGGACTCGGGTCATTGTGGCCACAGTGTCCCCAGCCCCGGTCCACAGCAGGTGGCACGGCACCACGGGGTAGGTGCCCAGGCCCTATTCACTGTCACCCAGCCAGGACACTGGTGAGGACCTGGGTCCCACTGCCCCTCGAGGGCACCCCTGGGAGACCCCAACCCTTACCACAGTGCCGCAGGTGGGGCCTTGGCACAGGGAGCCCGCAGGGGCCTGCAAGGGTAGGCCTGGTGTCCGGAGGGCCTGACCTGCTCCTGCTGCAACTGGGCGGGGCCCCTGCCGTCTGCAGCTGCGCCCGCGTGTGGCTTCACAGGCGACCCCTCCCAGCCCGTGTCCCGTCCATGTGGCGAGGGCAGCGGATCTGACCCCCCAGCCAGGAGAGGCTGCTGCCCAGCAGGTCCCCGGGGCCGGCCTCAGCCACAGGCGCTGTCCCAGGACCGTTCCTTGTCCCTGTGTCCCCATGGGCACAGCACGGGGAGGGAGCCCTGACACGGCGCCTGCTCCCACTAGAGAGGCCAGCTGAGCCCACGGTGCCCCTGGCCGGCTGCGGGGACCTGCGGGCTGAGGTCACTGGCGCAGCGCTGGGACCCTGACGCCAGGCTTCCTGTGCCGGGACCAGAGGAGGATCAAGCCCAGGGCCCCACACAGAACAGGCAGGGCCTGCAGCACTGAGCTGGGTCCCAGCACTCCCCAAGTTTTATTTTGAGACAGGCTCTTGCTAAGTTGCCCAGGCTGGGCTCAACTTGCAACCCTCCTGCCTCAGCCTCTCCAGGGGCCGGAATTGCAGGTGTGGATTGAGCCTGCTGTCTTCTCTAAAGTGAAGCAGGAGAGTTAGCTGAGAGAACTTAGGAAACGGTGATGAATGAGCCTCCAGGCAAATCCAGCCCTCCTGCTGCTGCTGCCACCCAGGCTCACCAGGGCAGAAGCGCTGTGGTGGGACCCGGGGCGTGGCGGGGAACCCAGCCCGGGCACAGCCTGGCCCCTGGGCGCCTCACTGCCCTTTCACAGGGACCGGGCTTCAGGTGGAGAAGGAGACCTGAGACCTTCGGACGGAGGAGGGACGGAGGAGAGCACAGGGGGCCCCTCCCACCCGCTCGCTCTGCCTGGGGCCGCTGGCTGACTCGGGTCCCTTGCAGGAGCCTGCTGCGCCTCCTGTCCTATGCCGCGCAGGTGACAGGCCAGGTCCTGGTCTACGCCGGCTCCTGCACGCTGCGCCTGCTGGACGACGCTGCCTCACCACCCCCCGAGTGGCGGCTGGGCGACTGGCTCCGGTTCCTGCGCAGATAGGGGCTCCCGCCCGCCCTGGGCCCTGGCTCTGCTCCGGGGCACAGAGGGGCGCTGCAGGGCGGGCCTGGGAAGCCTCACCTCGCGGCCGAGGACACAGCGAAGAGGCTGTGGCCTGATCCCACTCGATGTCTGCTCCGGGCGCGCCCGTGGCCTCCTTAGATGTGCCGGAGTCGCCTGCCTTGGCCGCCCCGGGGCCTGAGCCCAGCACCTTCACACCGAGCTCCGTCCTCCGCACTTCCTGTGCTTTTAATTTTTATTTTCAGTCCACGTTTGCAGCACATGGAGCCCACGCAGCTGCTGCTGGGCAGTGGGTGCCGACAGGGCTTCTGTCTCCCTTGGTTCCCTTCCCACCTGAAAAAGATCTTGTTTCCTGTCATCTGTCCTTCATTTCACCCTTTAGCTCTTTATGCTTTGGATTTCCCCTGTAAGAGAAACCGTGTGATGACTAAGCTTGTGTGTATCATTCATCTACGTGACATTATGGTCTCGGGGTGCCCCTTCGCCTACTCAAGTTCAGCCGTCTTGACGGCGCCGTAGCACTCCACTGTGTGGAAGTACCACCCTTTCTCGGTCCATCGCTGTCGACGGACATACAGGCCACTTCCAGGGTTTGGCTATTAGGAATTATGCTGCCATAAACAGGTTAGTTTTCATCCGAGACAGGGTTTCACTCCGTGATTGAGTTGCCCAGGCTGAGCTTCACCTTGAGACCCTCCTGTCTCAGCTTCCCAGAGTGCTGGGACTACAGGCATGCACCATCACGCCCGGCCTAACAGTGGGTTTTTGAAGAGCTCAAAGGGGCCCTGAAGCCGAAGGGCCTGTGCTTGGCAGCCTTGATGGTGAACTCTGCGCCAGGGAGGGGCTGCCACCTCCAGGAAAGGAATCTCCAAGCAGTGCCTGGTGGCGGCCTGAGGAGAAGCCAGGCTGCCTGAGGCAGGCAGCGGGAGGCGGGCGGGGCCACTGTCCCGAGACCACTGACCTCAGGAGACCGAGGCCCTCGAGCCTTGATGGCAGACCCAGCCGCTGAGACGCCCCTGCCCAGCCCCAGGCTCTGGCCCAGGGAACCCACACGCCAGAGCTTCCTGCCCTGTGCCAAACTCAGCCGCATCCAGCCAGCAGCTCAGGGGCAGACGTGCCCAGGCTGGGACCACCAAGGCAGCGCTGGGCTGTGTCCCTGTCCTAGTGACCACAGCGCACCCACTTCTCTCAGGAATCGGGCTTCACGGAAGGCCCGGAGCACGGCTGTGCTGCGCGGGGCAGCAGCCCTGGCCCCGGGTCCAGACACAGAAACAGGTGCCCCACAGCCCTGGGGGTCCGGCAGTGAGCCCGGGGTCCTGGGGTCCGGTCCAGCCTGGGAAGTCTCAGGAGGCCTCCAGGCCGGGCCAGACCCGGCGCACTCAGCGTCTGCTCCGCACTCAGCGTCTGCTCCTCGTCTTGGGCACGGGTGAGGGTGTGGCCCTCGTGCCCTCTGCTGCGCCCCAAGGCATCTGCTCCCAGCAGCTAGCGGAGCAACCCCCGCCAGGCCTCCCTTTCTTGGGCTCCCTTTGCTCAGAGCCCCTTTGTCCACCTGCCAGCCAGGCCTCAGCAGCAGGGGCTCACTCACGTCTGCCCCGGCAATCTGGCCGGGCCTGGGCCTCGGGCCCCAGCTGGCTGCCCTGGGTGGCTGGCACAGAGGGCGGCCAGCCACACCTACACCCCCTCTTCACCTCCTCCCGCACCCAGGGAGACAGCCCCAGGCCTGGTGAGGCCCTGCCCACTTTTGTGCCCAGAGCATGGAGTGCAGCTGTCCAGTCGCCTGTCCCCACCTCTGTCCCTGAAGGTCCCCCGTGCCCCGCACCCGGGGACTCACCATGTGCCCAGCAGCGCCCCCCAGACACCCACCAGCTGCGCCCTCTTGCGTGGGGCCTCAGAACATTGCCAGGGCCAGGGCCTCCAGGCCAGGTCACGGAGGGAGCCCTACCGCAGCCAGGGCACCGTGACCCCGGGACAGCTTGGAGGCGGGTTTCCTGGGTGACAGCTGCACCTGATGCACTCGGGTGACAGCAGCAGCTCTTGTCCTGGGAGGGGACAGCTGGTGATCTCCCTGACAGCCCAGCACGGGCCAGGGCCAGAGCCAGCACCAGCGGCTGGAGCCTCCTGCCAGGCCCGGGGAGGGGAATGACAGGGTGGCCAGGGACACCGCTGTGCCTGGCCCGTCAGGGGCCCATAGCCCCGAGGTCAGCCCGGAGCTGGCGCCCATGCAGGTGCCCAGCGAGGCCTCTGCTCCGTGTGCTGTGGCACCTCCAGGACAGGCCGCGCGAGGTGCCCGTCCGACTACAGGTGGACAGCGGGGTCTCGGGACGCCGGCCGAGGACTGAGCCTCAGAGCTCACCAATCCACAGCACTGCCTGAGCAGGGCCGCCTCAGATCCCACCTCGGGCAGAGGCACTGTTGGACCTGGGGCCGCAGGGCCAGAGACCATCACCAGCGCGTGCTGGAAGGGAAAGACTGGAGCTCGTGAGTAACTTGGTCTTCATGCTCCGGCACAGCACTTGAGAAGCAGTTTAGAGCATCGAGCCAGGGTTTTTTCTTTTTTCCTGAGACAGGGTCCTCTGTGGACCTCAGCCTGGTCTTGAGCTCACTACGTCACCCAGGCCAGCCGCGAACTCATGGCGATCCCCCTGCCTCAGCCTCCCAAGGTCTGGGATTACGAACATGCACCACCATGCCTGGCTAGCTAGGAATTTTTTAAAAGCCCAAATATGGAAATATTAGCTCACTTCCTGCTTTAGTGCCTGACACTCTGCCTGCTGGGCAGATTTCCCTTGAGACCCAGCTCTGCCTCACCCTGGGCCCAGCTAGGGTCACAAGGATCAAGTAAGATAGCAGCTGTCAGAACAGAAGGGAAAATGGTTTTTTCTTTCTGTGGTGCTGGGGATGGAGCCCAGGGCCTCGAGCACACTGGACAAGCACTGGTGCTGAGCTACACCATGGGCCAAGTATGTTAGTACAAACACACAGCTTGGGTTTTATTAAATAATGCTGCGTAATAACTGTGAAAAATGATGAAAACAGAGGCAATAGCAGCTGGGCCTACACTGGTAATCCCAGCACTTAGGATGCTGAGGCAGGAAGTGCAGCCTGAACTACATAGCGAGACCCAAACAATAGCAACATAAAACGGGTCGCAGCCTGAGGGGAACTTAGCCCTGGAGGAGTAGCTTCCGGCCCAGCCTGGCCTTGGAGGTGCTGGACAGGGCATCCCCCTGCCAGGGTCCAGCCGTCGAGCCCCAGGCACCTTCCACCTGGCCCCGGGCATGCCCTGACCCGACGCCTGTGCCGAGGCTGTGCCAGGACGCTGTGCCCTCCTGCAGCCCCAGACTGCAGCGTGGGCAGCTGCCACCGTGCCCAGACCCCCGGAAGCACTGCAGACAGAGCAGCTGCAGGAGCAGCCCGGGCGGGGAGCCCCCAGGTCACTGGGCCCTGCCTGTCAGCACAGCAGCCCCGAAGCCGGTGTCCCCTGCTCATCCAGCCCCCCAGGGGGGGAGCCGCTCTGTCCCAGCAGAGCACGGCTGGTCACCGTGGGACAGGTGTCCACCTCTGGGGGTGACCGTGTCCCCCCGGCCTGAGAGGACAGGACGCACACGCAGCACCACTGAGGGGGGCGTGGGATAGGCTGAGGGAGTAGCACCCACCAGGCCGGAAGGCGGCCCACCTCCCAGCAACCCGAGCCGGGGCTCCTGCATCAGAGCTCACCTCGGCCTCCGGAGAGCTTGTACCTCTGCGGGTTCAGCCGTTGTTCAAGAACTTAGAGCTGCATGAACTGTAGTCCTACAGGGGAGGCTGAGCCAGGAGGATTGCTGGATCCCACTCAAGGCCAGCCCGCACAACTCAGGGACGCCCCGTCTCAAAGAGAAACAAAAAACTCCTTTAAATTGTAAAATGCATTTTAAATTGCAAAATACTTCCATGGCTTGAAAATGATTGCATTTGGTTTTTGCAACAGCTCAGCTAAGAGAGACGTTGCTATTATTTGACAGGTGGGGAGTCCCAGAGCCTGGAGCCCAGCTGCACCCAGACAGCAGCCACGCCAGGGCTGGACCAGCCCCTCTCTGGCCCGGGTTCTCCGGGCTCAGTTCTGATCGCAGAGGTGGAGCCAGAAGAGCTCGGGGATGAAGGCCCGTGGTTAGGGTGCAGAGGAGGGCAGGTGCCAGGGAAACAGGCCGCACCTGGGGAAGGTCCCACTGGTTTCCCACTTTTCCCTGAAAGGGCCAAATGAGGACATCTGTCAGCCTGGCACAAATGCATCCTTTATTTTCCATCTCTCTTTTAGGAAAGAGCCACATTGCAGGGGTCTGGGCAGATACCTCAGGCTTCGCCAGAACGCAGTGTCCATCCACCTCCTCCTCCCTGACGCAGCAGCTCTTTGGGCTCCTCTCCCCCGTGCTCAGCCACTGCCTGGGGAGGGGTCCCCATGTCCCGGCCACACCCGCAGCATTCCCCAACGTGCACCCACCTGCCCACTTTGGGAGAGATGATCAGTAAAAATAGCTGCTCTCCAGGGTGCAGCCAGAGTGTGGGCGGAACAGCATCCCCAGTGGCCTGCGGTGGGGTCACAGCTGGTCAGGGCAGACCTCGCCCAGCAGAAAGCGTGGCAACCCCTGCCCCCTGCACAGAACCCCCGCTGGAATGAGCTCTGACAGAGTGCCCGGCCTGGCCATGCCATCTAAGCCAGTCCACTGTGCCCAGGCTTAAGGAGCTGGGCGTCGGGGCTGGGTGTGGGGGGAGGCAGAGCTCCAGCCTGACCCGCAGAGGCCCTGGTTTAGGGCCCCTCTCAGACCCAGGTTCCTCATCTGAAGAGTACAAGAGATGCCTGCCTGGAACAGGTTGCACCCCAGATGCCCTGGATGCCAGGCACCACGTCACCTGGTTCCCCGATTCCCGGTGGGCCCCGAGCATGTCCTTGTCACCAGGCACTGTATCCAGGAAGGCTGAGGAGAGGGCGGGTGGGCCTCTCAGAATCACTGGGGCCGGTGAGGGCAGGAGGGGCTCGTGCTGCCAGGACCGCCGACTCCTGTGGAGAGGAAAAGGCAGCTTTCCCGAGCTCCTGTGTGGCAGCCATGTGCCTCCCGGTGCCCCCAGGTCACCTCTGGAAGTCACATCGCCATCATGGCTGCTTCCCCGAGGGTCCTAGGCAGACAGACCCCATGCCGAGAGGCAGATTTAGGGCCCAGTCCGGGGGAAAGGTGGGGTGGCCCCCGACCTGCCGTCCTGTCCGCTCCGCCCTTCCCAGGGACCCTGGGGACCCAGACTGCAGGACTGGATACAGGCGCAGCTCCTCATAGAGAGGTGACTTCGAGAATCGGGGCTCTGGAGGTCTGGTCCTGGCGGGGTGCAGGGTTGGCAGAGCGGCTGCCTAGGCTGTGAGGCCCCTGGTTTGAGCCCCGAAAAGTCTCATTGCCAGCCTCGAAACCCGCTGCGGGAAGTGAGAGCTCTGGCTGAGACTCGGGCACCAGAGGGTGACACTGGGCTGGCAGGACAGGAGGCCGCTGCAGGCGGACACGGTGTGCGGTGCCCAGCCCGACCTTCCTGTGGGGCGCCGCATGGGGTCGCGCAGACTGGAGCCCAGGACCAGAGACAGAGCGCCCCAAGCCCGGGGCCCGGAGGTGGGTATGGTATGGTGAACTCGCTTCACCCGACGCGGCAGGAAGTGGCCAAGAGGAAGCCAGCCCCTTGACCTTCTCCCAGTGAGCTGAGGCCGCCTCCCCTCCTGCGATGGGGCCAGGTCTGATCTGAGGTGGCCAGGGAAGGGAGACACAGGTGCCCTGAGGTGCACAGGTGTGCATAGGGCCCAGCAGGTGGACAGTGAGGAGCAGGGCCTGGGTCCATTTCCCACATGTGTGTGGTACCCCCCACCCCCATGGCTGTGGCTGTTTTATTTAAATATTTGTTTATGTATTTATTTCGGTGGAACCAGACCCAAGGCCTTTGCACTAAATTACATATTCATTCATTGATTCATTCACTCATTTTTTTTTTTTTTGGTACCGAGGATTGAACTCGGTCCTTGCACTTGCAGGGCAGGCGGCAAAACCACTGAGCTACATCCTCGGCCCCATTCACTCCTTTTTGATACGGGGTCTTGATGAGTTGCCCAGGCTGGGCTTGAACTTGCAACCGTCCTGCCTCAGCCTCCCAGCAGGTGTGCACCACCATGCCTGCGTGCCCCGGCCCTTCTGTAAGCGTGAGTGTAACTTGCACATCTAGATGTGGACCCAGCAACTTCCCTGTGTGCGCTCCTGCCCCAGCCCCTCGGACCCTAGAAGGAATCCTTTTGGCCCTGGACAGCAGCTGACCCGTGGCCCGCGCGGAGCCTGCTGAGCCCTGTCTTCAGGATAACACCCTCACCTCCCCTCACGGTGTGGGGAGGGAGTTCAGACACCCTGGGAAGTCAGTCTGTGCCAGGACAGTTGAGTCCCAGCCCGCCCACCGTGTCCCTGCCCCAGGGGACTGAGGACAGCCTCGGGGCAGCCAGCACCAGCGCTGGCAGGGTGGGGGGGCGCCGCAGGCAGGGCTGTCAGAGATGGGAGGGGGGAGGAAGGAAAGCCCCTCTGTCTCTCTCACTCGTACGCTCCTCACACAACCCGATCTGAAAGAAACCTCCGGTGGAGAGCACAGCCAGGCCGCCGCCTCCCTGGCCCCCAGGGACACTCCGGGTATGGTGGAAAGGCCCACGGGGCGCTGCTTTGGAGCCCCGCCTGGAGGGAGCCCCCAGGCCGGCCACAGCAGGGTCAGGCTTCCCCTGCCGGGTGCCCCAACCCTGGGAGGTCCTGGCCCTGGGCGGTCACCGGGAGAGAGGGTCCCAGCAGCCACAGGCGAAATAGGGGGCGTGCTCACACCAAGAGCGGGACCCCAGGGGGCTCAGCTCGCCGTGACCCTAACCCTACCCCGCGGCTGGGAGAGCAGACAGACAAGGGCAGGCCTGAGCGGCTACTCAAGAGGCTGAGGCAGGAGGATCGCGAGGTCCAGAACAGCCTGAGAGACTTAGCGACCCCATCCCTCGAAACCACAAATTGTGCGCGGCCAGGTCCGCACCCGCCCAGATCTGCCGGCCGCGTAGACCGGCAGTTCCCACCGGACGCGGGCGCGGACTCTCAGGGACCACGCGGACGCCGAGGGCGCGGGGCGGGGCCCCAGGAAGGGACCGAGTGCCATTGGCAGCACGGGCGCCCGGGGGCGGGGCTAGGCGGCCGGGGCGGGGCCGAGGGCCTCAGTCGCAGCCGGCGTCCGCGACCGAGCAGCGCGGTCACGCGGGAGATCGAGGCGGACCCGTGCGGGAACCAGATCGGCACCCAGGCGGGCGGGCCCGGGCCGGGATCGGGGCAGCCCCGGCGAGTCCCGAGTGAGTGGCCCGGCACCGGCACCGGGACCGGGACCTATGACCCCGCGGCCCCGAGGCCCAGGGCCTCGGACACCGACACCCCACCGCGCGGGACTCGAGCGTTCCGGGCCGGGCGGCTCCAGGCAGAGCTCGGCGAGGAGGGAGGCCGAGGCGGGCCCGCTGCCCTGGGGCTGGGTCGGAGGCCGGTGGTTCCCTCCGAGCGCTGACCTCAGCTCAGGCTGAAGCGACCCCGCCCGCCGGTGTTGCTAAATCAGACTTTTCCTCGTACACCTTGAATCCTTGAGAGAAACGCTGTTTTTATTCCTTTTCAGTTTAAAACGTATCTTTTCTTGAGGATTCTGGGCTAAAAATAAGAAAAATTTTCTCTTAAATGCTTTTGTCTAGTCTTCGCAGATCTCTGGAAAGACTCCACCCTCCCGGGGCAGAAACTCAAATTCTGGGTGGGAGGCCCGGGGCTTAACGCAGGCCGGGGCTCTGCGGGAGGAAAACCCATCCTGTGTCCCAGACACGGAGACCTGGACCCGCCCCGCCCTGTACAGAGTGCCCTTGACTTACGAACTCAGTTCGTTCCGAGGTCAACGGCCTTCAAAGTCTCTCCCATACAGTTTTAGGCCACACTTTCTTCCAGGCAGGCCCGTGTCCTTAGACACGGTCCCAGGGTTTCTCAGTGAACCCCACACAGGAGAGGACGCTGTCATGTTCCTTCCAGAGCTCTTTAGAGTTAGATCTGTATCTGAGACCATCTGGAAGCACAAGCTGTGGCACTTGGGTCGTAACTCAAGACTTTGTTCCTAAGTTAAAACTGAAATTCTGGTCATAACTCCAGTTGTTCGCTTCCCAGGCCAGTCGTAACTCGAGGGCCCACTGTACACTGTTTCTATAATCTTACTATGTGAGTGCCACATACCCTTCCCAGAACAGCACAAACCTCCGACCCTAAGGGCAGAGGACAGGCGGCTGTGCTGGCCTCGCAGCATGCACAAGGTCCCCAGTATCATGCTTGGGGGGTTGAGTCGCCAGACTTAGCGGAGTTGCTTCCTGTACACACAGAGGGGCAAGCAGTGTCGATGACTCTCGAGCAGCAGGAACGACAGGATGGGCACTCAGCCCAGAAGGAGGGAAACCACAGGAGCCACCCGCTTCCGGGAACCTTGGGTGGGGTGGTGGTGGGCGCTGTCCAGTGGGGCCCTGCTGAGCCTCCTCCTGGGACCACTTCCGGCCCGTGGCCATGAAAAGGCCACCAGGAACACTGTCCCTGTAAAAAGCCATGTGGAGGGACACGTGTGTGGGTGGGAGGCTGTCATGGCAACACACAGCCCTGTGAGTGAGAGTGTGCGTGCGTGTGTGTGGCCATTTCCATGTGGTCAACAAAGTCAGGAAGCAGGCGGAAGACCTGATCCGTGCCTCTCCCCCACCCGAACAGCGTCCCTGCCTCCTTCCCCTGGGCTGGTGGCCTTTCGGGACTGACTCGAGTGGTGGCTCTTTCCCCCCAGCCCGGAAGTGTGTGCCCTGGGCCTTGCTGGACCTGGAGCCGGGCACCATGGACAGCGTGCGGTCAGGCCCTTGGGGCAGCTGTTCCGGCCTGACAGCTTCATCTTCGGTAAGTTCCCACTCGCCTGCTTTCTTCTTGTCTTGTTTCTTACGTGTCTGTCTATTTCTGGGCCCTGGGGATGGAACCCACGGCCTCACGTATGTTGGGCAGGTGCTCCACCCCTGACCTCCACTTTACCCATCTTCTTCCTTTTTAAAACCCATCAAATTAGTTCTGGATAAGAAGAGAACATTGCATTAGCAAAGCTGGGTGGAATCAGCCGCTCGCAGCCCACTCAGGCCCCCAGGGAGCCGCATGTGAGTCCCTCAGCATTGCTGATGTCTCAAGGCTGCTGGGCGAAGGTTGCCACTCTGAGCTGCGGCTGCCCACAGGAAAGCTCTCACCATGAAGCTTCTTGATTTGAAACAAAATCAAGAGCGTTTGCCATACTGGCTTCCTCCTCCCTCACCATGGAGCGTGCTCACCGCAAGCTTCGGCCCTGCGTGTCCTTCTCACGTCAGCACTCATAGACCTGTGCACAGTTTTCCTCCGGAAGGACGACCACAGGACTTTCACAGGCTGGGTGAGGCTTCCTCCTCCAGCACGCCGGCTTGCACCCGTCTTCAAAGACTCCTAGAGAGAGTGATAAGAATCCAGCAGCCTGGTTTGATGCAGAGCTCGTGGAAGGGGGCGGATTTGAAAGTTTCCAGCTGACAACTGTAATATTAGACGCTGTCTGCAGCTCATGTCATTTCTGGAAATGACCACTTTATGGAGTCCAAAACACGCCTCAAAGAGAGCAGGCTTACTTGTCCACAGAAATGCTTCCCTCAGCCAGCTCCCATAGTACAGCTTGAGGGCCCCTCGTCCAAAGTCCTGGTCCCAAGCACTTCTGAGCTCCGACCCTGTGACCTCCTGTCTACACACAAAGTTCACGTGTGTCCCTGCGCCTCCACACGTGGCCCGCAGGCCACGGTGTCCGGCACTCAGGGCTTCTGTGCCAGTGACCGTGCTGTCCCGAGGCTGGGTACAGAGTTCCCCAATCACACGTGGTGATGTGAGTGCTCAAGGGTTTGAGAGCTTGGAGCATCAGATTTGGGAGTCTGTGAGTCGCTGAGAGGCAGCATGTTTTCCACAGGAGTGGGAGCTTTAAGGCTGCAGTCCTGGCTGAACAGCCCAGGAGTGTGGACACCACTGGAAAAGCGAAACGCACCGGGTGGAAACGGTTTAACTGAGAGTAAGATGACCCTGTTCTCAGAACCACTGCAGGGACAGAGTGATGGAAGCCTTCTCCCATCTCCCGTGGGATGGAACCCAGGCCTTTCGCACTGCACTACATCCCCTGGCCTTTCTTCTTTCTCATTTTGATGTGGGGTCTCACTAAGTTGCCCAGGCTGGACTCCAACTTTCCATCCTCCTGCTTCAGCCTAGCAGAGCTGGGATCACAGTGTGTGCCCCTTGCTGGCGAGGCCAGACCACTTTACAGCACACAGGGGAAGTGGGGAGACCAGGCTCTCTCAGGGTCGGGATGCTGTGGGTCCCGTCCCCAAACAGGACACAAAGGTGTGCGTCTGACAGAGAAGCAAAGCGAATTCCAAAAGCAAATTTGCAGACAGTGTCAGGTGGACGTCACAGGGCGCTTGGAAACTGAGCGGCCCCCGAGAGGTCATAATTGTTCTTTACCTGTCAGCCTGGTAGGGTGAGTGAGGGCCTTTCCTAACCTTTCTCCTCAGTTCGGAGGACGGCTTCAGCCAGGAAGCTGCTGCCAGGAGAAGCTGCAAAGGAGACGCCTCCGGGCTTCCTGGCTTGTGACTACCGGTGTCAGGGGCGGTGCCCGCCAAGGCCTGGACCCACACAGAGCTGTGGCCTCATGGAGCTGCCTTGGGCAGAAGGCCCAAGCTGCACATTCAGGCCTGAAGCCAGGCCCCAGGAAGACAGGGACACCCAGCCCGGGCGGCCATACATCTCCAGGTGTTAGCTGCGTGCCTGAAATCCCAGCACGCTGGGAGACTGAGGCAGGAGGGGACACCCCGGGAGTTGGCACAGAGCTGGCCTCGGAGAGGTCACCACCTCTTCCACCTGGCCCTGTGTGCGTCCTTCCCTTGGGGAAGGCCCAGTGTTCATAGGTGGTGTGCTGTGCTCATTTGCCGGTTAAATCCATGGTGACGAGGTGGCTGAGCCACTGTGTTCAGATTCTGAGGGCCCGGAGCTATACCCGCCGTCCACCCTGCAGACCCCGGCCTTGAGGGGAAGAAACGCCAGAGCCCCGCAGGGCTGTGACACTGTCACAGGTCCTTGTGGGTCTGTGACCTCAGAGCTCAGGGGCCTTCGCGCCACAGGCCCTAGAGCGTTGGTGGTCTTTGTCCTGTCATTTGTGGTGCTGGGATGAACCAGGCCTCATGCACAGCACGTGACCTACAGTTGGAAAAGTGGGAGCCACTTAGAGCTGAGTTCCCGCAGGGGGTGCCACGCTTTTGGAGAAGGGTTTTGCTTAGTAAGCTGCTGTTTGCCGAGGAGGAGCAGTGACAGAATGTGGGAAGAAAGGGAAGTGTCCCAGAAGCCTCTTTCTGTTCCCTGACAGCCAACCAGACTCGGCTGCAGGAGGCAGGGCACGTGGAGACCAGGGACCCTGATCCGTCTCCCCAGGCCCAGGGGACCTGTCATGGGTGCCTGCCCAGCTGAGGCTGCAGCCCCGTGATCGGTGGGCTGGGCCACTGCCTAGTGTCCCGGTGCATTGCTAGACGATGTTCAGCTCACGACCCCCAGGTATTTAACTGGGAACATCTGTTGCTCTGAGACAACGGCAGACTATTTCCAGAAGTCAGCAGCTCCCTTCCATCGCAGCTTCGTGGTGAATCGCGCTGTGAATGGGGAGGTGAGAAATGGGCCAGAAGGGAGGTCGGGCCCTCTCGTGAGCCAGTGTGGTTCACTAGGGTTCATGTCTGCCTGGGGATGCCCGCTGTTCCCCTGCCGCTTTCTGCCATTTTAATGAAGTGGTTCCCGGCTCATGCTGATGGCCCTCAGCTGTCCTTTCATACAGGTGTGACGGTTCCACCCTGAGCGCTGAGTATGAGGTTGCCCCAAACCCCAGGTCACCCCATTCTTCCCCACACGCTGTGGACTGGGCACGGACAGGTGTTGGCAGGAGCTGGGGGAGGACAACAACTGTTTTCGGGTCAGTGAAGAGAAGGCCGCCGGCCAGGTGTTGCCATGTGGCACAGCTGGGCAGGAGGAGCAGCTGTGTCCATGGAGGGAACAATGCCGGGGCTCGTGAGGCTCGGATGAGGAAGTGGCCCAGAGGGCGGGGTAGCTGAGCGACGTGCGCTGTGGGCACGGACCAGGGCTTGCCTGCGGGATGAGCTGTGCCCACGGCCATGGTGCCCGGGCCGGGCGGATGGGACGCAGCCACAGAGAGGGGACCGAGCTCCCCCTGGGGGCAGTTGGCCCAGGCCAGCAACCCCACTTGCACTTCCTGAGACCACTGAGTACCGAAATGCGGGTGAGGTTTATTTACAGTGACAGCAAGTGCCCACACCTGCTTCCTACAGACTCTGGCCTGCGGTGTGAGGCGGAGCCCTCGCCCTGCCCTGGCCCTGAGATGCTGTTCCCTGGGAGGGCAGCAGGACTGGAGCCAGGCCACACCCGCGGCACACAGCCCCGCGTGGGATCGGGCCGCCTGTACCCTTCAGCCTTTCGAGAAGTTTGTGGATGCATATCTGACAGCCACGACCTGCACACTTGCTCCCACTGTGTCACTCACTGATGATGTGTAATTTCCTTGCCCACGCGTTTTCATACTTTATTTGCATTGAGTATCAAAACTACATGTCATTAAAACTGCATAAGCAATGATGTTGAAACTGAATCCTGCCAGGATCCCATCCTTTAGAAACAGCCTGGTCTTTCAAAATTGCATTTTTAAATCTGTTCTTTAAAAATTAAGGGCCAGAGCCTGGTGTGGTGGCACACACCTATAATCCCAGCACTTGGGAGGCCGAGGCAGGAGGGTTGCTGTGAGTTCCAGGCCAGCCTGAACTACATTGTGAGACCCTGTCTCAAAAAACAAAATAATTTAAAAAGTAACTTGCCAGCTAGGTAGGCAGAGCACTTGCAGGGTGCAGGATTGAAAAGGGGGGAGAGGATACAGAGGATTGACTTCCTGCCTCCCACCCGGTGACTCCCAGCAACAGGAGGGCAGTGTGTCACAGTTCAGGTCATTTCCACAAATGTGGGCTGCTGGCCGCTGGCTGAGTACAGACTGACGGCAGTAACTGTTTCACAAGCTCAGACCCAAGAGGGACACAGGGTGGAATGGCGCCCTAGCACAGCATTGCTCCATTCACATACACAGCTGGGCAAGGTTTTTCAGTATTTAGGTGAGCAAAACAGGAACAGGCCAGCGATGGAGCTCAGTGGCAAAGTCCTGAGTTTGAGCCCTGGTACCAGAAAAAACCCAAAAAACAAACTAAAACAGGAAAAGAACTGATGCTGAACCTGTCTCATCCTGGTAATATTTAATATTCACTCTTGGATAAATGAACTAATTGAAAAATACACAGATAACATATCTTTAACACTGTGATCACAGAAGTTGTACAACAATTTCAAATTCCTGGGTATTTTGGATTTTTAAATAGATTCTATTGGATATTGTTAACAGTGTGAGTTTTGGAAGGGCTAATTTATAGTGTGTGGAGAGCAGTGTTAGCCATAGAGGCTCCATGTTAAATCTTACCCTCCATTGTATAGAGGAAGGAGACTCTGTTACGAGGAACCGCGTCCTTGCCCAATTAGATGTTTACCTTCAGAAATTGTCCTGCAACATGATGAACGTTTTGTAAACCCGAGAAACAAGAAAGCCCATGAGGGTGGGGAATTTCCAAAGAACTAGAGAACAAGGAAGCAGGTGTCTTTGATAAGGGTCATGATTAACAACCAAACTCACCTGTGAAAAAAAGGGGAGGAGAATAAAAAAGCGCGGCGGCAGTCTCTCTGAAAGGCTCCCGACTCCATCTCTGCGTCTTTTTTTTCTTCATCCTCACTCCCCCATTCAGGTGCTGTTCGACAAGTGACGGCTGGCTCTGTCAATAGTGCCACCATATTTGAATTTACGAAGAGAAACTACATGTCAAGCTAAAAATGGGCGAGGGGCGTCCAACTGAAATCTTCTCAAAATGTGAGGAACATCTCAGTAGACATCGCGTGTCCAGCAAAGCACAAGCTACAGGCAGCGCCTCCCACCCGGCTGGCTGCTTCCAAGCCATCTCCTTACGATGCTGCTGGTTCAGATGGAAATCCCGGGAGGGCAGAGCGCGGCGGCTGGCAGGCCCACGTCAGCGGACGTCACCGGGTGCCCACTGCAGACACAGCCAGCTGCTGCCCACTGCCGCCGCCTGACGCGCTTCGTGCCAGGTGCCTGCCTCTGGCTGATCTTGGGGTGTAATCTCTGCAGCTCAGTGCTGACAGCCCCTAGGGTTTCCTGCTCTTTCTTTCGAGACACTCGCTGTGTCTACACCTCCCAGGCCAGGTTTACAGGACCCTCGGAGACCACAGGACCCAAGAAATGAACCGGGAGCCGACTGCAGGAAACCTGAGCCCAACCTGGCCGGCCGGTCAGTCCCGGAGGGAGCCCCTCCTAGGCCCTGAGGGCAGTGCTGCTTCTCAGGGCTGTGATTGGCTCAGATTCAGGCTCGCTGATTGGTCCACGTACTGTTTGATTGACAGCCATCTGGGAAGCTGGGTGGGACTGAAGCGGGCTCTTCAGGAAGGCTGCTGTGTCCCTCACAGCTAACGGGCCTGATCCTAGCCTCGTCCGAGTGCCCTCCTCCTTCAGAGGCAGCAGCTGCATCTGAGGCGATTAGGGGCAGGGGTGCCACAGCTAACAGCGGAGCTGCACTACGTGGGTGGCTGCCAGACCCCCAGCGAGGACACCACGGCCGGTGCAGGCGTCCCCCCCCCCCCGAGGACCCGGGCAGGCCACAGGAGGTGAGGGAGGGCACAACAAACATGGGAAGGGGGAAGGGGGAAGGGGGCAGGGGGCCTCTCCAGTCTCGAGCGCCCAGGCTGCGCTCCTGCAGCTGGGAGACGTCCTGTAGTGCGAGGCCTTCAGACGGGATGTACAGTGGAGGAGCCGGTCTCCGATCCGACACCTTCCCGTCGCCTGCAGCGCGCGCGCACAGCGCGCACACCGCCTGATAGAAAACAACCTGCCTACATCCCCAGTCATACAAAACCACCCCTTCCCACAGCTGGCCGGGAGCTACCGAGGCAGAGTTTGGGTCACTTCCTGTGCGGAGCATTTCCTTATGGCTGCAAAGAAAAGCAGTTGGAAAACTTTGTACCAATAATTCTCGACAAGTGAGAGGCTCATTCACATAAAACACTTTTACTGTTTTGAAAAGAAAATATTTGTACAGAGTACTGAGTAGCCCTTATCCAAAGAACCGTGGGACCAGAAGTGTTTTGGATTTCAGATATTCCTGGATTTTGGAATATTTGTGTACACCTAACAAGAGCCCGTGGAGATGGGATCCACGTCTGATCACGAGGTTCACTTGTGTTTCACACACACCTTGTACACACAGCCTGTAGGTAGCTTTATCTGGTTTTGTGTTTTGCTTTTGGTACGGGGGATCGAACTCAGGTCCTTGCGTTTGTGAGGCAGGCGGCAGAACCACTGATCTACATCCCCGGCCCTTTATACGGTATTTTAGTGAGTCCGGGTTTTGACCACAACCTCTCACGGCAAGTCAGGTATAGAATTTTCCACTTGTGGCACCATGTTGGCAACAAGATTCTTTTTTTTTCTTCCAGTACCTGGAATCACACTCAGGATCTTCTGCTTCTGAGGCAGGTGCAGCGCCACTGAGCTAAATCGCATACAACTTTTTAATTTTGGAATGTTTTGGGCTTTAGTTCTGTTCAGGGATGGTTGACTTACACAAAATTCAAAAACTCAAATGAGAGGTGAAGCTGTTTTTGGTGGTGGTGGTGGGGATGGAGCCCCGGGGTTTTGTACTGAGCTACATCCCCCGTTTTCACTTTTTATTTTTGAAACAGGGTCTCGCTGAGTCTCTGAGTTGCCCAGGCTGTGCTTGAACATTTGATCCTCCTGCCTCAGCCTCCCAGAGTGCTGGCATGATGGGGGATAGTGCAGGAGGGCCTGGCAGGTGCTACTTCAGGTCACCCCTACGCCCCACCCCAGCCCCACCAGGGGACACTGGTGAACCCGTGCTCTCTTGCAGGACAGATGGGCGCCGGCAACAACTGGGCGAAGGGCCACTACACGGAGGGCGTGGAGCTGGTGGATGCGGTGCTGGACGCTGTCCGGCGGGAGTGTGAGCGGTGTGACTGTGCAAGGCTTCCGGCTGGTGCGCTCACAGGGTGGTGGCACGGGCTCAGGCTGGGCACACTGCTGCTGGGCACACTGCTGCTGGGCACACTGCGGGAGGAGGTCCCTGACCGCGTGGTGAACACCTTCATTGTGCTCCCATCGCCCAAGGTGCCGGACACCGTGGTGGAGCCGTACAACACGGTGTTGTCCGTGCACCAGCTGGGGGAGCACACAGACCAGACCTACGACATCTGCTTCTGCACCCTCAAGCTGGCCATGCCCACCTACAGCAGCCTCAACCGCCTGGTGTCGGTCACTATGAGCGAGGAGACCACGTCCCTGCACTCCCTGGGCCAGCTCAATGCCAACCTGCACAAGCTGGCCACAAACAGGGTGCCCTTCCTGCACCTGCACTTCATGCCCGGCTTTAAGCCCGACTGTGTGGGGCGGCCAGCAGTACCACGCCGACCACCCGAGCTGGCCCAGCGATGTTCAACGCCAAGAACTTGATGGCCACCTGCAACCCGTGCCATGGCCGCTTCCTCACTGTGGCCACTGTCTTCATGGCCGCGAGTCCATGCAGGAGGTGGATGAGCAGATGCTGGCCGTCCAGAGCAAGCAAGGCAGCTGCTTCGTGGAGTGGATCCCCAACAATGTCAAGGTGGCTGTGTGCGACATCCCGCCGCGCGGGCTCAGCATGTCGGCCACCTTCATCAGCAACAGCACGCCCGTCCAGGAGCTGTTCAGGCGCACCACATCTCAGAGCAGTTCATGGCCATGCTGCGGTGCCCGGCCTTCCTGCACTGGTTCACAAGCGAGGGCATGGACAGGATGGGATTCACCGAGGCCGAGAGCAATGTGAATGACCTGGTGTACAAGTACCAGCTGTACCAGGATGCCATGGCCAATGATGGGGACGAGGCCTTCTCACCACACACATAGCAGTGTGACGGAGGGCACCGGCCGGGCACCTGCGGGAAACCTCACCACAGGGCTGAGCCGCAACTCCAGGCCCAGCCCGAGTGCCTGCCGCCAGGACGCCTGTCCGCTGTCGGTCCTCCCTGACCACAGTTCACCAGCACTGGCACCACGGCCTGCAACGCTGGGCACATGGAGCAGCTGCTCTCACCTCGAGGGCAGGCGCCAAACCCTCAGACTAAGCGGGCAGAACCCTAACGGGGCTCCAGCTGGCCACCTCCCTGGCATCTGGCAGGGACAGAGGTGGGGACCCCAGCCCTTCTGCGCGGCACTGGGTACAATGGGACGCTGGTAAGGGGATGAGCTGAAGGACCCCGCTCTGTACAACAGGAGCTGGGCTTGGGATCCACACAGGCACCAGGAGACATCTCCAGGCCCCTGGAGAGCAAGCAGGGGAGGGAGCATGTGTGGCCTGGGACCCAGAGATAACACCAGATCCTAACTCCAAGTCACCGAAGCACAGGAGGAAGCGGGAACGGCACCAAGGGAGGGAGCTAAAACACGGGCGTTTAAAAATGCCAATGTGCGGGTACCCCTCTCTCCCATAAGGGCGCTCGAGAACTCAGCCCATGCGGCCTCGCCACACTGAGACTCCAGAGGTCCAGTCTCTTCTGATGTGCCAGAACCCAATGGTGAGCCTCTGTGTGCTCAGGGAAAAAATACAGTGTTCACATTTATTTCTGATGTAAAGAAGCCATATTTACACAATACATTCACATTTTCAAGTATGTTACAGCTCTCTATAGAAAACCGTTCATTGAAACAGTAAAACATTAAATTAAATCAAAATGTTCTCATCAGGACTCCAATTTAATTCCACAGCCCATCTGCAGAGAGAAACTGAAGAGAACTAGGAATGAAGAGCGGAGGTGGGGAGAAACCACTCCTCCACGGCCAGCCGCCCTGCTGCTCCCAGATGCCTCGGCAGGACAGCGCCAGCCCACGCTCCACACTGGGGTCCTGGAATCACTGGCCCCGGGCGTGACTCCGGAGAGAGGCGGGTCAGCAGCAGCCGGACTGCCCTCCCGCCAGCCAGAGCTGCAGTGTCATGCTGACACCGCAGGCAGACAACAGCGGCCGCCACGGACTGTCTGCATCTGGCTGGCACCTTTCTGGTCTGGGGGCTCCTTCTCCTCCTTCTCCCGCTCTTTGTTCCAGTCCTTCAGGCCCTCTGGCAGCGAGGTGTCCTCATCCAAGCTGCCCGTGCCCTCCACGAACTCTTCATACGTGGATTTTTCTGCAAATGGTCTGGGGCCCAGAAGCGTAACCATGTCGTTCTTATCTAAAACTTCTTTCTCTAACAACAGAAGCGCAACCTGAAACACACACAATTTCCAGTAAATGCAGGTGACAGCAAAGTCTATGCAAAAGCAGTGTAACTAGAACGGAGCTCATTCCAAAGGGTCTCAGGGAACTGGGACGATGGCCCGTGGAGAAGCCCCATGGCCGAGCTGAGTGAGAGGGCCTAGCAGGGTGATAACCACCGCCCGGAGTGTGGCGCCGGCACCTGGCTGCCCGTGGCAGGGACCAAGGGTGCACCCTGCTCCCAGCATCCCAGATGTGGATGTCCCAACGAGCAGGGAAAACACCCACGGGTGCAGCAGGGTCCCCTGAGCACCCACACAGGTAAACACACTGTTTTCACATCTGCTCCCCACCTGGAACCTGACAGAGCCCAAAGTGACATGGAGGAGCTGCTGGCCAGGGACCAGGACTTGTGCCCTGCCACCCACAGCCAGCCAAGGGCACCTGGTCCTCTGACCTGGCAGCTTCCGGCTCGGCCCAAACCTCCGACCCCTGTGGGCCAGAGCTCTCTCCACCTCCCCATTTCTGGATCTCGTTGGGTTTGAGCAATGCCACATTTGGAAATTGCTTTTTTGCTCACTGTCTAAAATCCCCCTTAACAGTGCTTCTATGTGCAAACACGAATCGCTGAAGGCTGTTAAATGCAGAGCCTCAGGGAGGGGCAGGCAGAGGAGAGTGGGCAGTGAACAAGAGAAACAAGTGCAGAAACAAGAGCAGCAAAAGCCAGTGATAACTCGAGCCAGGAGGCTGAAGGTGGAAATTCGCCTCCTCCGGTCCTGCTGCTGATACCACCCACTCACACACCACAGGAGGCAGAGACCAGGGATGGCCCAGAAGCCCGCGATGCAGAGCAAGCAGGCTGCCCTGCCTACAGGAACTCACTCTCTCTGAGTTCACCAGAAGGCTATGTCCCTAAAGATGTGAAACAATGAACTTCTTCTGTCTTTCTCATTTTTAAAAACTTTTAATGGAGCGCGTGGCACACGCCTGTAATCCCAGCACTCAGGAGGCAGAGGCAAAAGGATCACCTTGAGCTCGAGACCAGCCTGAACTACAAACTGAGACCCTGTCTCAAAACAACAACGAAAAACCCAAAGACTTTTAGAGAATTTTATTTTTGGTACCGGGGATCGAACTGTGGGGTCCTTGCACTTTCAAGACAGGCGGCGTAACCACGGAGCTAAATCCCCGGCCCAGAAAGGCTTTTAATGGAACATTTCAAGTAGATATAGACAATACAGTTAGGGCGACTAACTTACCTTTCCTAAGTCTTAACTAACCCATTATACCAACGTATTCTCATTCCAACCAGTGACAGGAAAACCTGAGCTTTTTCACAGTCGTTTTCCAGTCAAAGCTCCCAGCTGTCGGAATGGCACGGTGCTCAGCAGCCATGCACACTGCCCTGCACACGGCGCAGCTGGGGAGGACGGTGCCCGGGCAGAGCCTGGGCCTGGGCCCCCGGCACACCCGCCCAGCTCCTGGCCCACAGACGTGCAAACGGAGGCCAGGAGTCAGAAGGCCCAGCCCCCTGCTCCGGACCCACTCCCACTGGCCAGTGCTTTTCCAGAATGCTGGCCTTCCCCAGGGCAGGAGGTACCGCAGAACTCTCCAGTGCGGTGCACTGCAGACACAGGTGACAGGCGCATGTGCTGGGCCTGTGAGCCCCTCCTCGCAGTCCTGACCCCCACTCCCCGAGACACCTGTGCACCACACAGCTCCTCTGCAGAGGAGTCCACGCGTGTCCCGCAAATGGGGTCTGGGGCCCAGACCTCTGCACCCCACACAACTGCACACCCAGGGCTGCAGACACAGCACCCGTGCTCCCTCCTCTGGCCACCCCGCCCAGGAAGGACGCACTCAGGGCGCTTCCCTTCCTGCTCCACCTTCTGTTGTGCCCACCCCACCCTGAGGCAGTCGGGGAACTTTACAGGACGGACTGGTGCCTGCTGCTCGAGACCCCTCCTCCTCTGGGCCTGCGCCCCACGCTGCGCCTCTCCAGTCACAGCCACTCCAGACCTCTGGAGCCGCCGAGCACAGGACAGGCCTGTGGGTGTGTGACCGGCCAACCCCTCACCAAAGGCTGTTTCGCTTGTTTTCCTCACGCGTGTGCAGCATGTTCTGAGAACAGATGAACCCTAATTCTGGAGGAGTGGAGCTCGGGCAAGGAAGACATTACTGAGTGCAGGGCACCAGAGTCCGGAGGCCCCTCCCTCACTCGTTCTCAGGGCCCAGCTGTCTGTCCAGGCCACTCACGATCACCCACAGTGGCCTCTGCATGCCAGGAGCCCTCTGGCTGGCTGATTCTCCATCTGCCCGTTTATCTCTCACTACCTGCTCACGGCACACAGGGGAGACCACACACGAGGTTATGGAGGAGGGCCACCAGGACCTGGGGAAGAGCCTGGTCGTGCGCCTGGGGCTGCTCCGAGTCCACTGGTCACCACCACACTCAGGGCATCACCCGTGGGCATCACGCACGGGCTCCTGCAATAGAGCCCGGAGCTGGCCCAGGGGGAGACGCAGCCCAGCGCCGACGGAGCCGCCACCATGCAGTGCCATGTGGAGCAGGGTCCCAAGTGGGCACCTACCTTCTCCACGTCGGCCTTCTTCTCCGTGAGAAGAGCCACAGTTCTCTTGTAGGCCTCACTGATCAGGATCCGCACCTCGTCGTCAATGAGCCTGGCGGTGGCCTCGCTGTACGGCTTCTCCAGCACCATGTCGCCCTGGCGCGGGAGGTCAAAGGAGATCTGCCCGACCTTCTCATTCATGCCGAACTGCACAATCTGGCAAGAGAGCACTGGCTGGTGAGGGAGGGTTCCTGCCACTCCTGGGGCAAGGGGACTGGCTGCTGCGTCAGCAGTGGCAGCAGGGCCATCCTGCTTTGAGCTCCTCGCCAGGAGTAGGGCTGGACACCTCAGAACAAGAGGCCGCAGGCGCCTGCTGCCTGTGTGAGGGAGGCAGAAAAGGAGGAGCCCCGACAGACTGAAGGGCGAGCCTGGGGGCGAGCATGTGCCTGAGACCAGGTGACCTGGGCCCCTGTGGACAGGGCTGGAACAGCGGGGAGGCTGAGCCAGCCTGAGTCTGCGACAGCCCCTGCACCAGCACCAGCACCAGGTGGGAAGAGTGCAGGGATGCAGAAGGACAGCCGAGCTGAGCAGGAGGGAGGGGCCGCCTGCAGTGGGAGCGCTCGGCGGGCCAGCAGCACGGCTCAACACCCTGGGCCACTGCAGAAGGACACCATGGCCTGGCCCCACCCCGGAGCCTCCACAGAACAACATCTCAGCAGACAGGGAGCAGGCTGGACACCACATCCTGCTCCTCCATGACAGCTAAGGAACCAGGAAAGGGACAGGAACAGGGAAGAACTACAGCAATCAAACCCACAGACAGACGAGGCACTGGGGTGCAGGAAAGCATTACACATAGGAAAAAAATATTCTTAGAATAGAGATTAAACTCAAAGAGGAGTAAGAACAAATAGTCATAATGACCTAAGAGAAAACAGCAGATTAAAAATGACTGCCAAAACATTTCTAGGCTGGACATGGTGGCTCACGCCTGCAATCCCAGCACTGAGGAGGGCTGGCAGGAGGGTCGCCATGAGTTCAAGCCAGGCTGGACTATTTAACAAGACCTGGCCTCACAAAAAAGAACGAAGAAGAGCTGCGGTGTGGCTAGCAGTCCTGAAGGAGTCGGCACACCAGGCTCAGAGATGGCAAAACCCACTCCCTGGACATGGGCGCTGGGAAGAGTGAGTGACAGCAGGGGAACGGGTGTGACAGGGCAGGAGGGCCGGCTTCGGGGGTCCGCAGGGAAGGGGCGGGCAGGCCCTGCTGTGGGTCAGAGAGTGATGCTGCTTCGTGCCCAGTGCAGGACAGGACCCTCAGGACTCAAACTTCAAACGCCAGTCTCTTCTCAGCAGCTGACCTGATGGCTTTACTGTGGATCTAAGACACACGCCTGGCCAGGAAACCCCAAGCCAGGGAGACAGACTGCACTGGACGCCAGCGACCTGCGACAGGCGGGGCCAACTCACCTGGGCATAGGCACTCTGTGTGACCTTCCGCAGGTCGTCCTGGGCACCGGTGGTGATCCTCCCAAAGAAGATCTCCTCAGAGACCCGGCCGCCCAGGGTCATGCACATCCGGTCTAGGAGCTGCTCCCTGGTGTACAGGTACTGCTCCTTCGGCAGGTACTGGGCGTAGCCAAGCCCTTTGCCACGGGGGATGATGGACACCTGGGAAGGAGCAAACGCCTGTCCCAAACAGCTCGGTGCACACAGGTGCCAGCACACGTCCATCCAGAAAGCGAGGCTGACAGTGGATGGCCCAGCTGGGGACAGCGAGCAGAGGCGGCCAGCAGGTGCCTCCTTTCCTGGCTGCACCTCAAGGTCTACACTACACAGGCCTGTTCCTCTGAGGCTCCACTGAGACTGCTCAGTCTCAACAAAAGGTGCCCTGGTGAGGGGCAGGCGACTCAACTGCTCTGTGACCTCCTTCACTGGGGGGCGGGCGGCAGCATGCTCTGCAGCCTCTCCCAGCCCTCTTTGCAGTCAAACAAACGCCTTTAATCTTTTAAAGCCAACTTTACTGAGGGCTGATTTCTCCAGGGTAGAACAAAGCTCAATGGGTTTCAATGAGCGCAGCTTCTGAGCACAAGGACAACACTGATTGTTGTCACTGTGCCCTTCTGTAGCCAACCCCGCCCCATCTGCATCTAACAGCAGCTGTCAGGTGCGGGATGCAGGCGGCCACTCCTTCCCGATGGACACCGGCGCGCTTGGGTCATGGACGCTGCAAACAAAGCAGTGACAATCTGTGTGTGGACGTCTGCACTTATCCTGGGCAAACACCACAGAGCGGAAGTGTTGACCTCTGTAAGAAAGCAGAAGCTCTTTTCCCAAGTGGCTGCACCATTTCACATGTGAGGCTCCAACTGCCCCTACCTTTACCAAGAATAGGCTGTGCACGAAATCCTAACCACTCCAGTGAGTGTTCTTGGCCTTTCATTGCTTCACTGCAATCTGATGCACAACTCCCCGAAGACCAGCGATACTATTTTTATGCACTGAATCCCCACTGCACACCTGTGAAGTGCAGTGCGCATCCTTTGCCCACTGTTTTACTAGATTCTCACAGAGTCCTGACAGGCCACCTAGAGTAGACACAAGTCCTAAGTCCTGTGTCATAAACACGTGTTGCAAACACTGTCAGAGCGTGTAGTTTGCCTTTTTCATTCTCTTAATGGGGTCTTTTGAACATAAGAAAATTTTTAATTTTAAGAGATCGACTATGCCAACTTCTTTCGTGGTTCATGCTGCTTGTACTGAAAGTTTTCCATACTCGAGGCCACAAAGATTCTACCTATGTTGGCCGTAAGAAATGCTGCAGGGTCCAGGTTCACTTTCTCACATGGGTCCTGATACCAGAACCACTGGCTCATCAGACAACCTTTCCTCCCGTGAGTGACTTGGGCTCCTCCATTGACAGTGAGCGAAGGGCCCCTGCAGTCCCTCTGTGGACTCTGCCTCTGTCCAGTCCTCTTACCAGGCCTTCATCTGGATCTGCAGCTGTGTACAGTCTCAAAACAGGGAAGTGAAACCCTTCCTCTAACCTGTTTTGGCTATTCTGGTTCACCGTATTCCCATACAACTTTAGATTCAGCTTCACAATTTCCACAAAATGTTCTGCTACAATTACGGAAAGAGACAGCGATGAAACTATAGACCAATAGGTTTTTTTTGAGGCAAGGTCTCGCCTCAAACTCACAGTTCTCCTGCCTCAGCCTTCCAAGTAGCTGGGATTATAGGAGTGTGCCACTTTGCCCTGGCTGAATCTGCAGGTCTGGGGAGAACTGACATAACATTCTGTGACACAGTATTTTTATTTTACTTTTGGGTATGGCTAACTCAATGTATAAGTCCTACAAATATTTTCTTTGAATATTCCATATTTCGTTCTGGGATGCTCATAAAAATGGCTTTTCCTGGTCGTGGGTATGTAACTCGGGCCACTAAGCTATATATATTCCCAGCTGCCATTCATTCCTTCCTTCCTCTGAGACAAGGGCTCCCTCAGTGGTTAAACTGTCTGGGCTGGGCTTGAATTTGTGATCCTCCTGCCTCAGCTTCCGGGACTGCTGGGATTAAAGGCATGCACCACCATGCAAGTGTGGAACTGAATTTTTAAAACCTCATTTTCCAACTATTCATTGCGGATCTACAGAAACATGAGTGATCTTTGTGCTCCAACCTTGATTCTGCAACCTGCTGACTGTACCCACTGGTTCTAGGGTCTGCAGTGCACTACCATGTGGCCCTCTGCAGTTCCCTGGCTCCCAGGGCCCCGGTTTCCAGGCGGCTTCTGATAGCCCTGGCAGTAAGCGGCTCTGCTGCCATCTGCAGGATGCCTGTGCAAGTGTCATCAGGGCTGACTGGCCACCTCTACTCACAGGGCCCCTGAGCACACTTTGCCAGGGATCAGCCAGGGATTGGGTGGCTTCTCTCAGGTTTGGATCTCACCCTCTAGAGTCCTTCATCCTCCCAGCATTCTCTCGCCTCTCTGTCACCTCCAGAGGGCAACGCACCTGTGCCTGCTGTGGCGGGTAGAGCAGGTGCCCCCTCTCACTGCCAAGGCCGCACTGTCCAAGAGCGAACTCCCCCAGCTCAGCTTGCTCTGCTCTGGAACTTCCTGTCCCTCCAGACAGCTCTGTTCTGCCTGCTCACCTTGCCCGAGGGAGGGCGGGACACTGAACACTGCATGTCTCCACTCCCAAGTGCCGAGCTGGCCGTCCCATCCCCGCAGGGCCCCCAGCCACTCCGCCACCCCCACACGTGGCCTCACCTTTAGCAGAGGGTCTGCATGCTCCAGGTACCAGCCAGCGACCGCATGGCCTGCTTCATGGTACGCCACTGTCTTCTTCTCCTCGGGCTGCAGGACCTGGGTTTTCTTCTCCAAGCCTAACAAGTAAGAAATGACCCATCCACCGTGTTAGGGACAGACACTGAAAGATAGCTACGCAGTGCAACACACCTCCCTTCTAAAATGTGACTGAAAGACTAAGCAGCCTACGACAATTTAAATTCCCAATGGCAGCCAGGATGAAGCGAAGGGTCAAGTCTGAGACACCAAACAGGGTCAGCACACACACTCTCCCTCCCCAGGTCCCGCTACACCCCAACTCTCCTCCCCTCTGTGACACCACACATCCTGGCTTGGGAGGTGACAAGAAATGTCAAACATCAAATCCACAGAAAACAAAGGACTCTGGGAACGTGCTTCCTGGCCTAGCCCAGGCACTCAATCACCAAGTCCTGCCAAAGGAGATGCCTGCCCAAGAGGCCGACCCCTGTCTGTCCCTGATAACTGGGGGACAACAAAGTGCCAAGCTGGCTACAGATCTGGCAACACCTGCGCAAAGCTGGCTGGGCAGCGCTGGGCACCTGCCCTCCCCAACAGCCTCAGGGCTTGGTCAGCCAGGGAGCAGCAGGGTGGACGAGGGGGCGAGCACCACAGGCAGAGTCCAGAGGTGCCACACTAGTGTCCAGGACGAGGATGGCTGAGTGGGCCAGCCTGAGCTCGGCCCTGCTCACAGCTCGGCAGAGCGGCTCTGAGGTCTCCGCAGCTGGTACTAATGCAATCGTCACACTGGGACAAAGGTAGTTCTGATGCTAAAGGTCACTCACCCAAGACTTTCACAACCGATAACATACTAAGCTCTGGAAGGTTTTTTAAAAAGTTCCCCATGACACGGCCCAAGACCAGACTTCCACAGAGCTGCCAGACAAAAGTTACGAAGGTACAGAGGTAGCAAGGCCTCTGTTTTCCTCCACCACCGAGACACTGCTTGCTTATCCTCCTACAGGGAACCAAGGTCACTTCACTGTCTCAGTTTTGCTGCCCTATTCCAAAACCATCAAAGGGCCTCCTGCACAAGGTCCTGAGTTTGATCCCTGGTACCAGAAACAAACAAACAAAAAAACTCAACCTTCAAGTCTCTGGCTGGGGCAGCCACACTGTGAACGGGTGGGCTTCTGCCTAGCTGGGGGAAGGGAGCAGGTGCGGACCCTAGCAGCTGGCCAGCCCCAAGCCAGGGACACGGCTGGGCTCCAGCCTGCCTGGCCACCCCTCCGGCCAAGTTCCCTCTGCGCCTTACCGCCAATCACTCGTTCGATGGCTTGCTCAAAGTGCTTCTCATTTATGGAGTCTGAAAGGTGTCGTGCAGCGATCAAGGCAGCCTCATTACACACATTGGCCACATCAGCTCCTGTAAGAGGAATGCACGCTGGCTGATCCCCCAGGACACGCGCAGACGACTCGCACCCCATGGTGGAGCAGCCCAGCACCAGGCTGGACGGACAGGGTGCTATGGAAGCATCACTTAGTTTCATTTACAATAGCCAAGCAGTTCTCACCATCAAAGCCAGCCTGCACAGCCCTGCCCGCTGCTCTGAGACGAAGCAGTGAGCAGCAAGCAGGGAGCAGACAGTGCTGACCTCCATGATGACAGGGCTTGTGTAACAGCAAACCGAGGATTCTAAGTCACTCATCAACTATCTTGATTCTACATTCTCTGCTGAGAAAGTGACTAGGGCATAATAGGCAAACTGCTTACATAAAAAGATGAACATAAGTATTAAAATGACCTAATACATTAACTTACATAACTAAAATATGGGAAGCCTGCCAAATGCTTTTTAGACCCACAGTGCTTTTAATTTTTCAGATTAAGTGACATAGGAATACAAATAAACTACAGCACAACATATGTGGTCAATAAACAAATATAAGAACTAAGTAAAAATTCAGGACTCCTGCTCACTCAAGTTGAGTGCCTTTTGACCGTCCAGTTGCATATACTGTTCTCAGACTTCTCAATTCATTTTGCGTTTAGGAGGGAGACACGTGACGAGATAAAATCCTGGAATAAGGATACCACAACCCATGCCTGCAGGAAGACAATGGATCAAGAGAGCTGGTAACACTGCTGCCCAGGATGGGGAGAAACTGCCAGCGGAAGGGGAAATGGGGCAGCCGCTTGGGGACAGCCTGGCAGTTCCTCAAAAAGCTAAGAACAGGGCCGGGGATTTACCTCAGTGGTGCCATCACCTGCCTTGCAAGTGCAAGGTCCTGAGTTTGATCCCCAGTACCAAAAAAAAAATTAAAAAAACAAGAACAGACTTGTCATGGGACCCAGCAACTGTACTCCTAGGAGAATGAAAATGAAAATATGTGTCCACACAGAACTGCAGGCAAATGCTAACAGCAGTGTTACTCATCGTACCCCAAGGCGGAAATGTCCACCAGCGGCGAGGGGCAGGCAAGACGTGGACCCCCATCCACAGGGTGTACCTCGGCCCCCTGGAGGGATAAAGCCGGATATTCGAGACCACGTGGACGGGCGCACCCTGCATAGCGTCCTGAGTGGACACACAAGGTGCACACTGTACAGTTCCACATGTATGACACAACTGGGGCAGGAAAAGCAACAGAACAAAGACTAGGTTCTAGGTCCAGTGGAGGAGCGCTGCTCACAGATCCTCTGGGACAATGAAATGATTCCAGACTGGGTCACAGTGACAGCAAGCTAAAACCACTGGATCATACACTTTATACAGGTAACTATCACAGCACTAGGGGGACTGAACCCACAGGCTTCGCACTGAGCTACATCCCCAGCCCCCTTTTTATTTTGAGACAGGGTCTTGCTAGTTGCCCAGGCTGGGTTCAAACTTGTCATCCTGCCTCAGCCTCCCAGAGTGAGGCCCATTAGTTTTATCTCAATAGACAGTTTCAAAAGAAAACCACTTGGGAATTATTCCCACAAGTCACAGGTACCGTAATTGGCCGTCAGGACCTGGACCTGACCTACTCCGCAGGGGAAGAGGCTGGGTGTGAACCAGCGGCCTGGCTGGGGCTGCGACTGTGCTGATGGGTAGGCACACGGCCTCCCGGACTTGGAGCTGGGGCCCCATAGCCAAAGGAAACACTTCGTAGGAGGCATCGGACACAGACAGCCATGCTCCGCTCACCTGAAAACCCCGGGGTCAGAGACGCCAGCTTCCGGGCCAGCTTCTCCTTCTCCAGGGCAACATCCAGCTTCAGAGGCCGGAGGTGAACTTTGAAAATGGAGGCTCTTCCTTTTATGTCTGGGGGTCCTTTCGAAAGACATTTAAGAAGAAAGTCAGAGACACACCGTGGCGCTGAGCCCGAGAGCCAGCCCGCAGCAGTGGCCGCTCACCAATGAAGATCTGCCGGTCGAAGCGGCCGGGCCGCAGCAGCGCCGGGTCCAGAATGTCCGGCCGGTTGGTGCCCGCCAAGATGACCACGTTTGTTGTCGTGTTAAAACCTGGGGACAGGAGAAGTGGCGTCATGGGGAGGAGACACAGGCAGAAGACGGAGTCCCTGCTGCTGGGCCCGTGAAGCTTCCCGTGCATCAACCACCTTCTAAGGCACAGCTACTTTTTCTAGACTACTCCTCTTGTCCTTCACAACAAGAATCATGCATTGGACTCAAAAGGTTCCAAATATATCTAGTTATTTTAAAAGCATTTTTCACTTTGAGCTGACGCACAGTTGTGGGTGGTGGTGTGGACCCCTCTGTTGCCACCTGTGGGAGACCCGGCCTCTGCTCCGCACTGCCCTGTGTGGGGGGCTTTGCCGCATGGCAGGCAAGTGGATTCGACCCCTCTCCATCCCATGGTAAGTCACCAAGTGAAGGATTTCAAATTCACCCAGTCACCCTTAGCCATGGTTGGGTTTCCTGATGCTTTAGGATCACAGGTAATTCTGACTTTCCCATGCAGATCATTTCTCCAAGCTTCCTCTACTCAGTCCCTTCTAACGCCAGTGTTAAATGATGGCAACTGTCCGGCAAGAGGGCCTGCTTTCTGGGTACAGCAGTGTGAAGGGCCCTTAAAGCTCCATCCCCCAGCCCCCGTGTGAGGACGTGAGCTAGCACAGCGCCTGAGGACAGCGGCTCACCCACCGTCCATCTCCACCAGCAGCTGGTTCAGCGTGTTCTCCTGCTCGCTCTGCCCCCCGAAGTTGCCACGGCCCCTCCTCCTGCCCACTGCGTCGATCTCGTCAATGAACAGGATGCAAGGGGCGTGCTTCCGGGCAAGGGAAAACAAGTCTCGAACCTGACAGGGAGAAGCGACAGTTAAGGACTGTGAACGGTACCGATCGCTTCTCCATGTGCAACACCAAGGGTGAACCTGGGGCCTCACACTTGCTCGGAAGCGCTCTACCACTGAGCTACACTGTAGCTCTTTTTCACTTTTATTTTGAGCTGGGGGCTCACTGTGTAGCCAGGCTGACCTCCAACTTGCAGTCCTCCCACCTCGCCTCGAGGGGCTAGAATTATAGGGATCATCACTGCACAAGCTGTTATTTATCTGATACAACTCTTTTTGTGTTTCATATTTCTGAATAGTTACAAAAAGCAAATAAGAGTTAGGTAAGTAACTGGCTGAAGGTGAACAAGGGTTATTCACTTGTATGTGTAATAAATGCTAACAGCTGCTATTTCTTAACATTAACAAGTACATACATTTTTCCCTATTAAAAGACACTGTGACATACAGATAAGTGAGGCATATAGGACTCCAGCTAGCCTTGATCAAAAAAAATGTACACATAGGCATATAATTGTAAAGATTCCAGAAACCCAACAGAAGAACAAAGTTCTACAAGCAGTGAGAGAAAAGAAACAAATCACATACAAAGGAAAGCCCATCAGAATAACAGCAGACTTCTCAATGCAAACCCTCAAGGCAAGAAGAGCTTGGAGTGACGTATTTCAAGCCCTAAAGGAAAACAGTCTCCAACCAAGATTGATGTA